TGTTTAAAGTCCGTGAAATGGGCCGTCTCCCTCTCCTCTCCTCTCCCCTCGCTCTGGTTCGCCGATTCCCTCGCTCTCTCCCTTTCACTTTCGCTCGCCCTGCAGGCTGAACTTGGATGCAGGGGATGCTCCTCGCTAATGGCTAGTAGTTTCTCCCGAGGCTTGAAGCTTTTTTTTTTTTGGCACCGAACTCGCGGTTGCCGAAAATTTTAATTGCGCCCTCGCCGTTAGAGCCTCGCCTCTTTATTTCGCGCACGCATTGCTCGATGTTTAAATTGTACAAGATGTTTTACCACAAGTTTGGTTTTTTTTTCAAGGAAAAAAGAAAAAAAAAAGAATATGCCTAACTACGGAAGAAAAAATTATTGGAAAAAGTAATATAAATTTTTCTTATTACCACGTTGTGATGTAAAATTTACGAACATTTTTAAAATTCTGAAAATTACCTTTGATTTTTAACTTTTTTTGATATTTTTCACACGCGAAGCGAGGCTGTGAAGATAATCGTAAGAGAATTAAATATTTGAATCAGAGTATACCACATAAGGAGAAATTAAACATCGTCAATCAAGGATGGTGCCCCTGTTATCCAAGTGCCGAGAAATATTAGTTTCTGTCCATTAGAACATAGTATCCTTCCAATTACGTTCTTCCCAATTACAGTCAGCCAGGTCAGGTCCGAATCGCGGGTTCATCGACCTCAGAATTTCGTATCGGCCACGGATATTGTTCTGAAATAACATCTGCCTGCTCAATCCATCTCCACGGCGGCCATGATCGATTGTGTTTCAGCCAGCCGAAGGAAAGAGACGCCGGATAATATCGCGCACCCGTTCTTAAATTACGATTTATTTTATTTCGAACTTTTACAAAACAATGACTCATACTTTCGATCTAGATTCTTTCTCGAGTGTTCGTCTTTTCGTTTGTCAACCAATTTTTGTATTTATAATTTTAAAGTTGCAATGTGTGTATCTTGTGTGACACATAAATTTTTTAATTATAGACAGATATTACTTTTATTATTTATTATTTATATTCGATTAGAGTCTCTTTCTCTTTCTCTCTTTCTCTCTCTATCCCTTTCCGAAATATTATCTTTATATCAATTTATTTAACATTTTATTTTACACATATTTTTACATAAATTTTACATATACTTTTTAACTTCTAAAAATATTCGGCGATAAATAAAGATTAATTTACTTTTTAGATTAGCTTAAAATGGATATATGGAAGAAACATTGTAACGAGAGTTTATTGAAGAGTCTAGATTTTAAAATTGTTTTATAAATTAATTGTGATCTGACAAACCAGAAAATAAGCATTATTTGTTTGGATTTTGCTTTATACGTTTGTGTAGTATAGAATGGAGATAACACAAAATCCCGATAACAGCTGATGTTCAATTAATTAAAAGTTTGTCGTATTTATTTTTACAATACTTTTATCAGAAATATCTCCGTTTTTATTTCGCCAAAACAATATCCTATTTTATATGTTTAGCCAATTCAATTGCACGGAAATTTAATTGAATGATTTTTTTATTGAATATTTTCTCAACTTAAGCCTTTTAATTTATTATTATCTTTAATTATAATTATATTAATATAATTAATTAGTTTTTAACACATCATTATGCGTTAAATAAATTTAATTAATTATTTTTTCCCTTTTTTACTTTTATCTACATGTACATCTCGGTGCATTAAAAATATTTAGCATTAATTAAATGAAATAATACAAAACATGAATAAAATAAAATACAATAATTATATTTATCTTTAAGAGAATTATTTGGACAAAATATTATGTCATAATTTTCAACTTGACTGTTGTTTTTTTCCCCTTCATTAAAGTAATAAGGGTGCAAAACAGAATGCACTAATGATTTCATTTTGAGCAATTAAATTAATTTTATAATTTTTAATATCGTGAATATCGGTTTTACATATTGTTTGACTAATGTTAAGAGACTATAAATTATTCCATTATTCCGTGCGAATGAAAACAAAAAAGGATTGAATCGTGCTCTTCCGGCTCCACCTACGGTCAACAGATCATGGGTCAAACGTTCGACCGGCTGTAGAACTCTTCCGTAAAGGGAAAAATTGCGGCAGATATATCCAAGTCGTGCATATGCCATTGCGCATCGATCGGATCGTGAATAGAAACGCCGGTAGCTAAATCGCCGAGTCGAGCAAAAATAGCGATCGGGTATGAAATACTTTCGCCGCATTACTATATCGCGCGACATAGACGTCGCCGGGCAGAGATCGCACGAAATATCGAAATACCGAAAACGGGGGAACGAGATGCGGAATAAATATTTCCACGCGAGGGTGAGGGAGGGAGGGGGAGAGTTACGGCGACCGGGCCTGTAAATCCCTAACGAACCGAAAATATCCATATTTCCGACCGATCGGCAAAGCGTCGAAACGTCGCTCTTCCACCATTAGCGAAAATCGACCCGATCGAATATCGCGAAAGTCGAACGGCGGAGACCGACGATTGAAGCGCGAACAAGCGTTCACGTTCGAAGCCGGAACAACGATGTAATCGACTAGAAGGTAGAATCTCCGTTATCGGAAGCTCCATTATTCGAATGTCCAACTATTTCAATATT